TAAGCGATTTTGATAAAAAAAATAATACTTTAAATTGTAAAATTGATATCATCTTTACTCTTATCCTTACGAACTTGAATGATTAATTAATGTATGACAATTTATCCAAATTTTTAAGGGATTTTAATAAAGAAAAAATACTTTAAAGCATATAGATTATCATTATCCGACGATATAGACAACAATTTATGGTATGTTCTTGTAGTTGAAATTAAAACCAAGCTATATAAGTACAGTATATATATTATTATTGAGTTCAATTAATACAGAATTTGTATGTGAAAACCAAACAGAATTCTAATTTTATTTAATGTTTTAACATTGTGTCATTGTAATTATAAATACTGAATTTCTAGACTCGCAATTGAAAGTGAAACAAAAGATCAACAAAAACAAAACAGAAATAGATCGAAATAGTCAAATAAGACAATTTGTATTCATTTCGTTAAAACTATGACAATTTTTTTTTGTTAATTTTTTTTTAACAGAAACAAGGCTAATCTGAGTTTCTCAACAGTCACATGGTCTGAATTAAAGACTGTTTGGTTCCCCAACAAAGATAATGAAATACTATTCTCCAACAGTAAGAAGCCAGTCACCAGCTGTAATAAAATTTAATATTGCAATTAATCGAATAAAACGATGGTAATAAAAACCAGGATACTGGTTTTGTTAACTGATCATTTAAGTTCATTGAATGATGATTAATTAAATTTGCGGACAAGATTAAAATATTGGGTCACGAAAAGTAAAAAATAAAAACACATGTTAATTTTTCACTTCCTTCAGATCCTAGCTTATTTTTCTTAATGGATCAAATAAAAAAAGTATTATGCTTTTAGGCCTTTTTGATAAAAGTAATTAAATTTGGCCTGTATTTTGATATTACATGACTGTATATATTTAATATGATTGATGATTTACATTCAAATTAGGAAGGTACGGTGCTTTCTATGGATTATCAAAAAAATACTGCTATAATACAAATTATACATTATTTTATATTATATGTAAATATAGAATTATATAAACATATGTGTGTACAGAAAAAATTGGTTTGTTCTATTGTGTTTCAGATGGTGGAAACAATTAATACAATATAATTAATTGATATATTACAATATGATTATATATGATGTGTGATTTAATTGACTTTTAGTGAAACTTTATCATGGTGTATTATCAATGATTATCAGTTTAAAGTATCCACTTCCTGGTGATAATTAGAGATAATTGGTTAATCATTATCCTTTATAGTTAATCTTGCTACATGTATTCTATGGACAGGCTATCAGCCCTGTACATCTAGATATAATTAACAACTTTTAAACAATTGAAACAGGATGGAAAAGTTTTCATGGCTGATTTGAGTTTGATCTTGACCTGAGAGAAATAAAGATATTTGTATTTGTATTTGAGTTGGGAGATACAATTGAAGATCATTTACTGAGAGATATAGTCTTTAATTGTTTTAATTGATTGATCAATTATTGATTTTAATTGATAATAATAATAACAGGATAATTGGGAGTTATGAATTAGCATGAATTATGGTAAAGGTGTTAATGGAATATATTTAATGAGGAGATAGGAAGTGTTTCTCATGAAGTTGATAATGAAGAGTAAGATATTAGGATATAAAATGTGGATCAGATTTTTAGATCTTTAATCATTGCAAAACATTGCTATTGATCAGATATAACAATTGATTAGTATTCTGAAAATTATCTTCTATTTTGGAGATTATAAATTTAGATGGTACTCAAAAACTGACTGTAAAATACATGTGTATTTGTAAAGGATTCATTCAATATTGGATTGTATTTATGTTAAACAACAGTGTTAAATGTAATTTTTGTGTGAAGTTTTGGTGTTTTGAATTTGAAACATAGTTTAGTTCTGGTTGTTTGATTAAAGAAAGGATCAGAAACAATGAGAAAGAAGCAGATTGGCCAGCGTGCCTTACTAGAGGAGGAGTTTTCAGTAGAGGGTAGGAAGTGTCATTAATTTAAAGTTATTGTGATAAATTATTTTTTCTTTTGTTTAATTAGTTAGCCTAGATTCTAGTTAAATATATCCTTTTATAATCCCTATAATTGTTTCCAATACCATTCTAGTGATTAAAAATCTTGATTTCCAAGAAAAAGTCTCTTCCTTGTTCCAAGCTTCCTTGTTTAATTACTGTGATTCTAAAGGGGAAGTAACTATTAAGTGATTAAAATATTTTTAGATTTGATTATAAAGGGGAGTAACTCTGTGCAACCATACAATTTGTATATTTAACCAGAAAAGGGGAGTAACTCTTGTGAATTAATTCAATTGAGGAAGGGGAGTAACTCTTGAGTGGATCAAAATATTGTAGATTTTTTATGTGTTACAGAACAACTTCAAGAGTGTTGGTTTTGTTTTTAAGTGGATTTATTGAAATTTAATGACTTTATTGAATTTAATTTGTCTTCTGAAACATTATAGGTTATTTTGTTCCGATAAGTTAACATATTGATATGGTAAGATTTAAGCATAATCACCGAAAATGTGCCTACTTTTAAAACAAACAATGATTTCTGCATAAAACTTGATTTATACCAGATTGTTCATTAGTGATTTTAACAGTCAAATATTTATTATGGATTTACAGTTTTATTTGAAGTTGATCGAAAAATCATGGATTCACTCGTATATAGCCAAGGTACAAATCCGAATGGATTTGATAAGCGGTGTTGAAAAAAATGCCCGAAACACATGTAAATTACCATTTAGTTTAATGTTATGAGAAATAAATTCCAAATATCTTAATTCTAAGCCGCCTAAGTTGCAGTATGACTTAAGTACCCTTAAATTCGTCAAATTTTCAAGGGCCATAATCAGATGCAGTTTGGTTTATTTATGTGATTTTGATAAAAAAAAGATTTAGACCCATGCTGTTCTGAATGAGTATTTAAGATTTGTTTCAGACCGATTGCAAATATTATGTAATAAAGTTAAGTACGGCAATTCTTAAAAACTATCGTTAACATTGATAATGTGAAGATGTATAAGAAGATAGTGCTTTTAACGATGTTAGAAAAGGATTTATAATGCATTTTGAATTTCATTATTTTACGTGCTTTTATTTAATCTTTAGTACGAATTAAATGCATCTACATTATTAATTTGTCTTCTTTCGCTAAGTTGTTTTTAAGCCCTGTGTCTGAGGAGGGTTTGAGGGGACTAAATCTGGAATTCTGCATTCTCTACAAGAGGGATTATCAAAAATCTCGACTTATCTTTCTATGGAAAATCCTTTATCTCTCATTCCAAGATGTAATACATTCATTATAAATACAAACTGCTCTATGATGTATGGGCTGTTCATTTCTTGCATATCAAAAAAAAATATTTAAAAAAAATGAAAATTAATTGTTTTTGTTTTTTTTATTGGAAAATCTTAGTAATAAGCACTTTCTGGTGAGTTAGTTGCATTTAAAACAGTTTCAAAGTTAAATACATTAAGTTTTGTTTTAAAAACTGTTAACATGACATTTCTTGAACAATTGGTTTTTGTCACAGAGACAAGTTAAATGTTATAGCATCAAGAGGTAATGTAGTTTTCAAGTCATCCAAATTTTACGCAATCTACAATCTGTATGTAAGCTCAGTAAATCTATCTATAAAAGCAAAATAAATCCATAAAAGCAAAGTAAATCCATCTATGAATTACTTTTTTCTTGGATAACAAATTGCGAAATAAGGCAGCGTTTGATTTGAGTCGAGATTTCCTTTTGGCGAATCGAGATATCCCGAAAAACGAATACGTAAATGCTAACGACAAATTTGCGTTAGGATTAGCAGTTCTCTAAAAAGAGTTTCTCTAATATTTACAATGCTTTATCCTTAGCGAATGTGCCGAGGGACATTAAATGTATGAAATTGGACGTATTAAGTGGGATAAGCGAGTTGAATTTTAGATTTGTTTTCTTCAAATATCATAATTAAGGATCAGCTATTGCGGTACAAGAAATCTTCCACTTTGCAAAGGATTATGGGTAAATGGAACGGATCTCCTGCAATCAAAGCAATCTGTCTTTATAAGATAACAGTAACATATTTAAGACGGTTTTTCTTTCAGTGGAAGATCAGTCTGTAGGGAGTTGTTGAGGTGACAACAACTGTGTGCTAAACTTCACTTTTCCAATACTGGACTGGTAGTGAATAGCTTCTCGAGCCTTTTTTTTCTATAGAAAAACACTATATAGGTAGTGAATAGTTCACAAATATTGAAATTTTTATAGGAAAACAAGTGTTTGTATAAACTATTGAACAAGATGGATTTTAAATTTTAGGAGAGCATTGAAATAGTGTACTATCTATTTATTTATTGAGAAAACAAATGACTATCATGTTTGTGAAAAAATAAAATTTTCTTTTATAAAAGAAAAAACAATAATTGTGAAAAAAAAATGCTGGAGTTTATTAAAGACATTCAGGGTGAGTGTTTGGTACTCTCTGTATAAATATACATCATGCTGTAACTCAATCTATTTTTAGTTGTTGATGTAGAAATGAAAATATTAATTTGAATAATGTGATACTGACTTGATAATGTTTTTATATTTTAGATTTTTCTTATGATAATTTGGCACGGAGAGGTTCCCTGCACTTGATAAGTGTTATATGCTTTTTGGCTCATGCATATTTATGTCATAGGCCAATTTTTATGATATTGTTTGAAATAGAATATAGTTATATTCTAATGTTTTCAGGGTTGAAATGAAGTTGCGATAATGATTTTGATGTTTCAAGAGCATTATGTGCAATAATTTTTATGATTAAATTTTTAGGCATATTGCTATTCTGTATATATATAAGGTAATATACAGCATTGTTTTTGGTGTTATTTTATTATGTGTATTCTTATTTTACAGAACTAAAGGTCTTGTGCAAGGAAAATTTTTTTAAGATTTTTAAATGTTTATTATTGATATATTTATATTTACGTATTTTTTAATTTTTACTTTCAGGTACTCGTTCCCTACCCATTCATTGCATTGTTGAACAGACAAATGGATCAGCATCTTTCGACAACTTGTCGGCAGAAAAATCCACGCATAGTACCGTAGAACTCGACAGCTACGCCATTTTACCAGGAACAACGCTTCTCACAGAATGTGTGCGGGCGGCACTTCTTAAACTTGGCTATAATTCCACTGAAGCTATAGGGGCCAAAGGTAAATAGAAATGAATAATCAGTGTCAAAAATATAATTACACAACTATATATAGTTTCAGTCATAAATTCTTAGCCAATAAGTTTGATTAAAAAAATTAAAGGTTGAACCAATTACTTGAAATTTTAGGCATTTTAGCTCCTTTTAAATTTTTTATAAAGATGAATTCATGTTTTTTATACAGAAAAAAACGGACTGCATACATTACTTTGCACATTCTTGACACTTGAATATGGTAAAAAAAAAAAATATTGTCATCTCCTTTATGCAGTTTTTTTTATATAATCAAGATGCTATAAAGAAAATTATATTTATTTTCCTGTTATTGATATGTCAAAACCCTTCAAATTAATATGATTTTTATGATCAGTTATTTACATATCGTAAAACAAATAAGTGGTCAGTCTTCATATCAAAGAAACTTACCAAGGCATTCCTGCACAGATTAAGCACTGATAAGAAAATTTGATTGTTTATAATCAGTATTTAATAGTTATCTTCTTCATTAAATGTCTTAAAATTGTAAGGTTACACCTACATTTTGAGAAAAATAATAATAAACAATAAATTAAAAGATTGGGAGGGGAGAACAACACATTAAAACACCAGGTCGGTTTATGTATATTCATATAACTACTGGTTTCGGGTACTATATACCCTTCTTCAAGTTATTGAAAATAATAATATAAAAAAAAAATCAAACAGGTTAAGCATTTATGAAATGTTTAAATATTTACAATAGAATGGATCAATTTGTCTATTTTTATCGGCATATTTCTTCCTCATCACTAATTTAGTAATCGCTCATTTTGTACTGATCATAGGTATTTTCTAAGGATTATTTTTTAAGGCTAGCTTTAACCCTAAACTGACATGAACCGAAAATGATAAACCTTTGCCACCAGTCTAGAGCCAGGTCACCATTTCTAAACATCCATGCGCAATCAGAAAAGTCTGTATACTTTAGGCGGAGTAATTTTAAATTTTCATCTTGATACCCATAAAATTCCGACACGGAAATGGAAGCTGGTCAAGTCCATTTAAGAAATTCAGCAGATTAAGGGCTATTTTTTACTATTTTTAATAGAACATTTTTTTTTAAAAAAAAATTGAGCCAGAGTCCTGTTGATTTAAAATTTCAGTATCTCGGTACCCTATGCAAACAAAACACAAATTAAAGTGATGTCATGCACTAAATGGAAAGCTAAAGTTTGTAAAATTTTATTGAAAAGAAATAGGCTATAATATTATATATTTAATTTTTAATAAAATTTTTGTGATCACAATCGTTAATAAACCAATACAGTATTAAATGGCTGCCTCGGGCCTTTTAAGGACTGAAATGTAATTAAATTAGAATTTGTTAATCCTTTCAGCGTAATATGACATATGATGAATTTGTGGCAAAGTCACTAAAAGGTTACCTTTTCCACGTTGAGAAATGTTTAGATTTTCTTTTTCTGATCAACAGTATTTTTAGCGCTTTGCATGCTGGGATAATTGTCATCTGTTGAAAATTACGTTTTCAGTAGTCTTAGGATTAAATAAAAATGGCTTTTTTTAAGTAAAATTACTTTGCTTGGGAGGGGCAGCTAGCAGATTGGATGTAAATGAAGGCAAATGGGCTTGAATTTAATGAAAGATAAGAGAGACCTGGAATAGAATTTTTTCTTTTGTCAAGCTACATCCTGAATATATTAATCAAGCTCATACAAGAAAAAAAGGAAAGCAGGTTATTCTTTACCATGTGGTAAAGTATTAAATTACAATAAAAAAATCCTCTACCTATCTGTTACATAACAATAAAATAATTCCCTGTTAAAGCAGGTACTAGTATGTGTTATAATTTTATTGTTTACTTTGTTTTAGGGGCAGTTCAGGTTAAGAATTGGAGACCACTGGACTTTGAGACTATCACTGACAACAAAAATGCCACCATTGATGATATGCTAGGGGAGCTAACTCAAGTTGCAACACTCAGAATAAGAATTTGCAGGTATGTAGTTGCTTCCCTTTATCTTAAATAATTTTTCTGTGGTTTTGAGGGTTGATTGCAAAACTGCAGTAACTTATATGAAATAAAGAAGTACTTACAACAGTTTTGCAATCAACCCTCAATTTGTCTTCTCTTGTTTATCTTAATTAAGACTCTGAAATCAATTTCAGAATAAAATTATATTCTTTATTTGTCTGTAATAATACCCTATATGCACACATTTCATTGAATCATTTTATTTCATGAATTAATTTGAAGCCTAAAATGATATATTTATTGGTAAGCTGACTTAATCAGAATTACTAATTACATAAACAGGATTTTTTACAAAAGATATTTTTTTGGGTAAAGAAACCCTTAAAGGAGCTCCACAGAGGTCAAAAATCCTAAAAGAATACAATTGGAAATTCTTACATAGATAAAGAGTAGTCCTTAAAATGGAAAAATTTGCAAAGGAAAATAGAAAAATGTGCCAAGAATTCAATTGAAAATCGAATTTTTTTTTGTGCAATTCTTTGCTAGATCTTGGTGAAAAGCGTTTCAACACTTTATTTTTGGGTACTCTTTTGCACTTTCTGAAAATACAGGGTGAGAGAATGGTCTGAAAAATTGCACACACGATACTGGTTTAGATCTTCATTGTATGGTACACATATCTTGGAAAAATATTTCTAGTGCCATCATGTCAAAAAAACCTCAAGTTGAGTTCCTTTAATGTCGGATTGGCAGGATTGGTTTTGGTTTGACTGTCTCAGCTTAATCAAGACTTTTTATGATAATACAATGCAAGATACCGGTAATAATGCTGCTTATTATCTCTAGGTATTCCAAATTTTGCTTTCATCATCTACCTTTGATGATGAATATTTTGGTTTTCATCATTATCATCCTTATTATCATCAACATCTATTCTGGTGGCATATGTGAATTATATAACTTTGCTTATATAAAATACAGTCTATTCATCTATTACATACACAGAATTGCTTGAAAATAGTGATAATTGTATTTCAGTTTTGTATTTTCAAGAGCAAAGGACCAACCTAGGTTTTTATTTGTTTCTCCATTTTTCCAGTTTCTGTTTTACTTTTACAAGTTTGTTTTTTTGTTTTGCACACAGTTTTGTTTTTTCAATTTTGAATGTTAAAACAAATCAAGCATTATCATACATGGAAAACTAGCGTTCTAATTTTATGTGTCTGCAACATACTGCTATGGTTGAAATAAAAACTATTGTCAGTTGTTGTTTTTTTTCTGCCAAGCTTAAGTGTGACCTCTAGTCTCAGAAAAATTATGTTTTATGCAACAATTGGTTATGAAATGGTAAAAAATTCCAATTTAGAAGGTTGGAAAAAAAAAAGAAATAGTGACGGTGGTTTGGTTTTGTAACAATTGGCTGTATTAAGTTCCTCCATAGATTCATACCCCATGTTCATCAATTCGTTATATTTTATCGCAAACTTAAAAGCAATTACCACGGCAACATTTTCTGTAATTATACCTCCGAATATTACAGCGCAACAAAAATCACGTCGGCAGAGGAAGTGAAAGAGAAATTGCTACAATTATTGTTGAATCAATCTCAAAGTCTACTCGTGAACGCTGGATGCCCCGTGCTGGACAAGGTTAGTTATTACTCAAATAGTTCTTTTGTGGTTTTTTTTTGTTTTTGTTTTTTATATATAACAAAGTGGTAAATACCAGTTTCTGAATAAAATTTTTGCTTGTATTTCTTTATACAATATATTGCATAATGTTAAATGCTATAAATGAAAAAAAAGTCTGTTATGAATATTTTTATGTACATTTTGATTAAGTTAAGTATAATTTTCTCATTATTTAAGAAAACGATGACCTTTGAAAGTTTCTTTGGATTTCTCAGACATTGATAATGTTACAGAATCAAATTTTTATAATTGATTTTATCTCACAGTTATTGTAACTTGTTGCACTAAGGATAACATTTTGCATGTTGACTTATATTGTTATTTTCAGGGAACATCACCTACAAACGGACACACATTAGCTACAATATCTCCCGAGATGAGAAGAGCATTCGACAGGTGGTACGAGGAACAATTGAAGTCGTACACTGACGGAAACAGCAGCGAGCCAGGTAATGTCAACATGACGGCAGCAGCCAAGGAACTTCTGCGTATGCAGCAGGAGAGAATCAAGGTTACAATGGCAACAAGTTACCAGGAGACAGTCAGCAGTCAGGAAAAAATTACGCGCTCTCCACCGATGAATCATATGAGCCAGATTTCTCCGCCAGTGTCGCGACCAACAGCTGCATCAACTCCTACCCACGAGGCTTTCTCCCACCCAGCTTATCAACACTACCTTCCAGGCAAAACAAGGATGAGGACATCTTTTGACCCGGAACATGAAATCCCACGACTTCAAAGATGGTTTACTGATAATCAACATCCATCTCGAGATCAGATGCTTCAGTACTTACAAGAGCTAAACTCACTTGACTCTCGTAAAGGACGACGCCCACTTGATTTGACAAACATCATTTACTGGTTCAAGAATGCAAGAGCAGCACATCGCAGAGCAACGAAAAACAGTGGTGATGACTCTTTTGAGATAGAGGAAGAAAAAGAGTCCTCATCTGCATTGTCTGATAATTACCCCTTCTTGCCTAATCGTAATGCAGTTTACATGGTGCCTTATCCACATTTTCCAAATTTAGACTTACACTCACACATGGGACTTCTCAGTGCACAAAATAAAATTAATGGTCAACTTGATGATCGTGAACCTTGTGACCTTTCTATGAATTCAAGGTCAAAGACGCCATTAGATGAAAATCAGGTAAAAACGAACAAATCAGACATGGAGATAAGTAAAAGACAATCACCGATCGAGCATGAGAAACTTGGTAGCGTCAATGTCAAAGTAGAGAAAGAAGAGCCACAGGTATCTCCGTCAAGGTCAGATGAAGGTTTCTCAGAAATGGTAGAGAGGTCAATGCCTAAAAGTCAGACGCCAGAGATTGATAATATACATGTGCCTGAAAGCAAGAGTGACGATAAAGAAGAGGTGAATGAACACGACGATATGCCAAAAGATCTTACAGTAGAAAAGTCAAAAGAAGTAGAAAAAATATGTAAGGAAATTGTTGATCAGCCATCTGATTTGTCAAAGAACGATATGGATGACATATCAGTGATTAAAACAGTAGAAAAGCCTGATCAATATTCATCTGATGATAGACCTAAAGATTTGTCCAATGGAAAGCGACGTTATGAAAGCGACGATGATGATATTGAATCTGATTATGATGACGACGACCGCTCCGTGGACGGATCAGTTTCTAGTCACGATGATAAAATGTCAAATCTTCGAGATTCTTACCTCACTTCTGCTAGGGGGTTAAACTTCAGCGCTGTTACGAGTAGTCCGTCCGGCCAACCTCTTCACATCCCCCAGTTCCCACATCCACTTGCTATGCATTACTTCCCTTTGAATACTCACTTCTACTCTCAGCAAGCCAATCAAATGAAATTTCATAATCAGCACTCATCGCAGCAGACTTCGCCCAAATCTTCACCAGGTCAAGGTCAGGAAAACAACAACTCTCATAGGAAAAGACGGACAAGGGTTTTCATCGACCCATTATCGGAAATACCGAAATTAGAGAAATGGTTTTTAGACGACACCCACCCTTCATCATATATGATAGACAAATATTGCGAAGAACTAAATAGTTCCGAATATAGACAGAAGTTTCCAAAATTGGAGCCCAAAAATGTACAATTGTGGTTCAAAAATCATCGTGCTAAAGTTAAACGTATGAGAATCGGGGGCTTTGGTGATCATCAGATTTTCTCATGAGATTATGGTGTTTTACACATTTTTATAGATATGATATGTTTTAATTGAGATTCTATGTTTAAATTTTTAACATTTGTGCTTTATGTTGAGAGGAGATATGGTCATTTTACTGAAACAATTTTAAGTATATTAATCAAAATTATAAGATTTATTGTAATATAACTTTGGTATTTTTTATCAAATTGTTGCAGATTTATGAGTAAGTGAGACATAATTATTTTCATTTTACTGGGTTATGGCAATATTCTGTTCCTTTCATGGCAATCTTTTGTGTTTCAAATTTTAAATTATTTTCTATGTTAATTATTCTCCTGTTGGAAGAATTTTTATACACCCTTTTGTACCCTCTAAATTGTTCTGTAAAAGAAGGTTCAGTCTTGAAATGAAGGGAGTGGGGCAAAATGGTTCTGTCTCGGGGTTATTTTTAATTTCTGTCTCAAGATTCAGATTTTGTTGTAAAACTGCAATAAGAGATTCATTATTGGTTCAGTTTGTTTTGTGTATTTATTTGAGATTGTATGGTTAAAGAGATTGTTCACTTTATGCAGATGAAAATTTTATTCAGAAACCAGTCTGTTGGTAGAATGATTTAATTGGTTTATTTCAAATTTTTATTTGAAATTGACCAATGGCATCATTGCATTTTTAGACTGGTCTTGTGACTTATTTATCTTTAAAGTTGTATCAGGAAATTAAGTTACTATGCAAAAAAACTTCAGAATTCTATAATTTAAAGTTGAAAATGATTACTTTGTATGCAAACAACACTTTGACTTCATTAATTTGTGTGTATAAAAAAATACAACTCAAACATTTTTTTTTCTGGATATTTTTTAAAATCATTGTACATGTAGTTATACTAGTGGACAAGAAGATGAATTATAAGTATTCCCCAATTTATTTTGACAAGGTTCTACGCAAGCTGAATATATTGTACATGTAATTGGCGATTTATACAAATGGCTGGGGTTTTGCATATTTTTGCTTTTCAGTGTCTCTGTTTTGAATCCTCGTGTTACATAGTTTTATCATTGTGATTAATTTCAAAATTATATATCATTTCCTATTTTCATCACCCCATATGATTTTGTTTATGTACAAAGTTGACGTTATGTGTAATGGTAATTTATTTATGTCATTGAGTTGTGTATAGAGATGTTTATTTATAGAATCGTGTCAATTATAAAAATGATAATAATATTTGGTTTACAGAAGTTTTCATAATAAAGTTGAATTTGATAAAGAAAAAAAAAATTGTAATATATTTTTTTTTTTACTATATATGCCTGGTTACATTATCCTAAAATATTAAATTGGCAAATTTTGCAATGACTGTCTCATTTTAACTCTTGTATGGTTTCTGACATGCACAAAATATCTTACAGACAAAAGGAGTTAGTGACCTTACCAAATTCCCAATAAAATGAGTGTAACAAATTATGCTGGAAACTATATTTCATATAAAGAAATGACACGGAGCAAAATCAAGTGTGTGTTTGTGAAATAAATGGTAAAGTTCGGAAGAAATATTCTGGCTAACCATGGTTTTAAATGGAATTGGTAAAAAAACATGATAAAGAAAGTTCAATAAGGTCCATATTTCCATCATCACAGTTTAAGAAACCATTGTTTTCTTTAATGGAAACACTGTTAGCTCAAACCTTATATTCCTTTGGGGGAGTTAAAGGGGGATAAAATCCCCCAAGTAAAACGAAAACTCTACATTCCAGATTAAAAAACACTTTAGATAGATTATTTTCGAATCTCAAAGATTTATGTTCTTACGTACTCTCAATTATTATTTGACTAAAGTACCTGTAACCTGGTACTGGATCTTTTTAAAAACTCAACATATTTATATTTTTGTTTCGTTTTATTTTCCGTTGTATGTTTTTTTTTGTTGTTATTAAGGATTGTTTCTTTTAAGTATTAATGATACATGTACAAAATTGGTGTGTAAAAGTTGCTATGGTAACATTGAGGAGCGCGCATAAATTTTGTTACATTTCATTTGTTTCATATTTCATTGTTTACTGTAAAAAATTAAAGACTTCATTTCATTTTGGTTGAACCGTCATTATTGATATAATGAAAAATTGGGGGTAGAGGAAGAACATCCAATTATCCATTTTAAGTAAGTATATGAAGATGGGAATGTATAAAAAAAGTTACATGATCTAATATTTGGGTAATTTACTTTAATCCCGTCCGAAGTTATTATAATTAACTTGTCCAGCTTTGAATTTTGAACTGTCCAATTTTAGTTAGAGGGATTTCAAGTACAAAGAAAGGTAAAATGGAGCTGAATAGAGAAAGAATTCAGGAAAGTGTCTGAAATCCTGGCTGTATACTGGTTGCATAGACACATCCATATCGCAATGAAACACTTGTCCCCATTAGATGTACATTAGTATTATAATGGAAATTCATATGTAATACAACATATAAATGATGAACAGATTTGTTTATGTACCTAAATCATTTGTTATAAAGTATGTTTTTTGTTTGTTTAAAAAACGATTCCTTTACCAACACAAATTATCACAACATGTTTTCATTTATGCGACCTTTAATTTTTACACGATCAGGGTCCCAAACTTGCTACCATAGCAACTAGACAAGGTCGGAAGACCATGCTTATTACGTTATTTGAAAAAGTGTGAAATAAGGGTGCTAACTTTTTTTTGTATTCAATACGAATGTGAAATATTTGTATGATTCTAAACAATTGATTGACATTCATCATTTATGTACAAGTGTATAATGGCATTTATTGTGTATATTTGAAAGATGGTTACTGTTTTTTTGTTTACAAGAGTTCAAACGAAATTATTGTATACATTATTCTTTAAAAGTAGAATACTGGTATTATATTTTTATATTTAAATATATATATACATGTATATATAAAAAAGAGTAAAAATTTTGGAGTAATGGAAATAATCCTATATAACAAATCCTGATGAACATGCATGTGAGTTGTGATATTGGTATATATTATACAAGAATATCATCACAGCGGAAAACACCTCTGTCATATGACCAAAAAATGTAGGCAAAATTAAGAAAATGTTAAGGTAACTTACAAAATAATTGGTTAGAGCTGCTTTATGTTTATCAATATTTACCAGCCTTTTTTTTTAAAAAGAAAAAAAATGATTATGATAAGACCTTGAGATATTTAAATAAGCCTTTTATGTTTAATAAAACATATTTTATTGAGAAATCAGGTATTTTTTAAGGAACAGAATAAAGTGTTTATAAGAATTCAGTTTTTGAAGAATAAGGTGTTCAATAAAAGAGGTTATATAATTATTATTTATGACTAATAAAGTTGGACCTATGTTATCTAACTTTATGCTATATGCTAAAATAACTACACATTTATGTATGCAACTTGATGCTATTTACAACATTAACTACACAAACAAAAAGGTGTGTTCATCAAAAAATATCGGTGCAAATCTGTTCGTGGGTGGCTGGAGGCGGGGATTATTAAAAGTAATGTAATTATGGGCTTACAATTGAATTATTTGTTTTCATTCGATCATTAAACCATTTTGTGAATTCAGGTAATAAAATCAAACGCCATGTAATACCTATGAATTGAAGAATTAACTATTAAGACATTATATCAAAATGCAGTATAAGAATTTTTTATAGCTATGAAATTTACAGCAGCTAGTGATGATTAAAACATTATCTGCATACCAGAAAAAAAACAAAACAATCGGTATCACTGATACGGAAAAAAAAATCATTTATTGCAAAGAAATTTGTATTGTAATAGCCAGTAAAGCAGGTAATTACCGATACTTTCTGTTTAGTATTGTTGTTACTACACAGTTGTTACATATTTCCAACGTTTGAGCATAAAATTGTGTTGTAATTTTTTTTGTCATTTTGACGCAAAATTTTCATATATTTTGTTCATGAAACTTATGTTTTCATATTATTTTTTTTATATGTCAAATTTGAAGGCTAGTCAAATTTATTTCTTTTTATTTATGTATACCTTTGTACATTTCAGTATAAATGTGTACATTTATGTATAACTATGTACATTGTTGTTTGCAGACATGACAAATAGATATAAAAATGTACACTTTTTGTCTCAATATACATGTATAATGTAATTCTTTTTGTTTCTTTCTCTTTATTTATTAAGAGTCACAAAGTAAGTTCAGTGCAACCTGTTAAGAATGTATGTGTTCAATGATTGTCATTGGTCTGATTAATATCTTCTCAGCCAATCAAATGCTGGGATACACAGACTGGCTTTATTTGGCCAATGAAAATGAAGTTTACAATTTAATGAGACTGGTTCCCTTTTGTTTTGTTTCAATGATATAGGATAAATACTAGAGGCCAGGTAAAAGCAGGAGTGATAGTGATATTAAGAATGGTTGACTGTACAGAATTTTTTTATTTTGTAAAGTGAATAAAATTCGTTGTTAGTTTTGAACATTAAGTAAAAAAAAAACATTAGTTATTGTGTTCAACATATACATCGTATTGTGGATAGAACATCATAAATGAAAAAGTAAATAAAATGCATGCAAAATGTTGAAAACATTGTTTGTTTTTTTATTCACCCTCAGTGACACAGATTCTCCACCCACTTGTTGCTAAACATAGGCAACTAGCATCCTAAAAACAAATTGAATATGTTATTAGCTGTCTAGAGCACGTGTGTTCAAGATGGGCTTTTACTATCACTCGCTGTCCGGCATCCATCCGTCTGTCCACACTTCTTTGGACAACATTGAGGTCAATAATTTCAAAACATTCTATGAATCTTTAAAAGTTGTTCAAAAAATTCAATTCATGCAGAAAATCTTAAAAATCATCTTCTCTGAAACTATAAATGCTAGTGCTAAGATATTTGGCATGAAGCATCATGTAGTGAACCTCTACCAAGCTTGTGTAAACAACAGCCCTAGGGTCAAAATTGGCCCTGCCCAAGGGAGTCATTGGTTTTCCTTGTATGTTTAAAGTGGTCTTTAGTAATCATCTTCTTTGATACAATAAAGGCTGGAGCTTAGGTATTTGGTATGAAACATACTGTAATGGACCACTACCAAGCATGTTCAAATTATAATCCTTTGGTCAAAATTGGCCATGCCAGTGGGTCATGGGTTTACCTTGTTTGTATGAAGTAAAATCTATAAGTCATATCCTTTGAAACCATAAAGGCTAGAACTTCGATATTTGGCATGAAGCATTGTGAAGTCAACTCTACAAAGTTTTTTTAAGATGTTTACTCTGGGGTCAAAATTACCCCCACCCCAGGGGGTCAAGGTTTTTTGCTCATCTGTATCTAGTTTACTAAACAAAATGGCAGCCAGATCTTAGCTTTTACAGCCATGCTTCAGATTAATTAATAAAGCTATACATGAATGATCTTTAGGTACAAAATTTGCTAAAATGGTTTCATGTCTAAAACAGAAATAAAACTTAAATGACATCTCCAACTGAATTAATAGGAATGCCCAGTCATTAAATATTGTCCATATATACTTATCCTCTGGTGAGCGATAAAGGGCCATTATGGCTCTCTTGTTTGAAAATCTATAGTGTTTGAATACTTGTTTCCCTTTACAGTTTTTTTAGAACAGTATGCTGAAAGAGTTTTAACTTTCTTCCTCAGCCTTTTTTTCTAGAATGATAAAAGTTGGTTATACTATACTGTCCCACCAAATTTGAATTATTATCTAATTCATCTTTTTCCAAATGTGAAAAATTTGTAATGTTTAAATTATTGCCATGTAAACCCTGGAGTCAACATTTCATTATTTTCTATAAGTCAATAATATACATGTAGTTAAAAATATGGTAAAACTATTGATCTGGTTTGGGTTATTATCATCTGATGTTACTAGATAATGTCGGAAATGATGAACAGGTTGAATATTCTGAACTAAGCGTGTCTTAGGAGGCCCATATCTTGTGGTGTTTGCTAGCCCATTCCAACCTGCATGACTGGTACATTGTTCCAAAAATTAGGCTGAATAAAGGTTTAAAGTGTTAAACACTGAATATGGTAGAATGATGGTGTTTTATAATCAACAATATAGACTGTGTATCACCTTGAATCAATTTATACACAAATCTTTAGTTGTAGTATGATATACCAGTCCAAAATACATAAATTATATGTGTGCAACAATTGTGTCACACTTGAAAACAGTTTTTTAATAAAAGAGAGTAGAATCAAAGTAATATTTCTTTCATTTGAACTTTTGAAATGTACACTTTTTTGTGCAAAGGGAGATGACTTCTACAATTCAGTGAATTTTTATTGAATTATAAGAGTTTATTCCCTTCTCTTCTTCATTAAAGGCACATTCAACCTAAGATTTCTCTAAGGAAATGGAAACCTATGTTTTATTATGTTTAGAGCATGCTTGATGCTTTAAAATATCATGTTTAGAAAGTAGGGTTGAATATGAAAGAATTTTTATGAAGTAGCAAAATGTTTTGTATTTCATTTTGTATTCTATACAAACAATAACTTTAATAATTACAAAAAAAGCAAGATTATTGTAGCTCTATGACCAATAAATACTGTTTTTGAAACTATAATAGAACACAAAATAAAAAGCTTTTGATAAATAAAAATAACATCGATAGGGGCATAAGGTGTCTTTGGTATACAAAGGGAAACAGATACTGCATAAGCACATAAAGACTGTAAGAGTTACTCCCCCTTTGTGTTGGTTAAAATAGATATCTAGCTGACATGTGTAAAGGGAAATAAATCCTGTTATAAAGTGCAAAAAAAGATTCAATGAGTTATTTCCCATTACCTTTTAAATGCGTTATTTTATAAGAATTCTCAATTTAAAGTGCAAGTGACTTTGTTTTATATAGCAGTTGGAGTTTTTTATGTCACACCAACACGTATATGGAGTAAGTCACACAATTTCTAAGCCCCTGCAAACTAACTTCTACATGTATATTATATATAGAAGTGGTGATGTTTATTGCAGTTTGAAAGAGTGTTTGTTAGTATCAGGAACATTGTATGTAGATTTAACAGTGTTTGCAAATAATAAACTGCTCTGTGCATTTGAAGTACAAAGTAAATAACATAGTATAGCAATATATATTGTAGAATTAGATAGCAATATTACATACAAATGTACACACACAATTACTGACAATATGGCTTAAATACCTGCAGGTCTTAAATCTCACTCTGGTTTACTTCTTCACAAATAGCAGAAGTAAAAGTTTCCACAGAAAAAAGTACTAAATACAACAAATATTTTGGTTGTAGCTTGCTTGTTGGTCTTGAGTGGTTTAATTTATTCTGAAGTCTTATTATGAGATCAAAGAATTGATACTGTAGTTGTAAGGATCAGGTTATTGCTAATCAGAGGTTGCACTTTACTTTATTTATACATTTTGTTTTTATTTTATATTTCAATAGACAAATGATTGTTGACAACATTGACCTGGAACCTTATGAGTGGAATGATGAATTTGTCAGGTGGACAATATTAGACCTGTTGAAAGTTATGAATCAGTCAACATTAGCCAATTTGTGTCCTTTACCTCAGGTAAATTGTTCCTCACTTTTCTGTTTGGTACTACATTAATAATTTTGTTATATATATATTTAAAAAAAGTGTACATTTAATTTTGTAATGTTGCTTTCCATTGGAAAATTGTGATGTTTGTATAATCTAATTAAAAGAACTATCATTATTGAAGCAAATTCGTTTTCTCCTCTAATAGAAGAAGTTTGCGGTAATAATATTTTTGTTATAAAGATTCTTGACAAGTTATATGGCCACATGTACATGATAATTTACAATATAGTCCTTGCCTAGCAGCCCATGTTATATATACAAACAGCTTTTTATATTGGGCCATAAAACCTGTCAAAATCTTTAGATCTTATAATATACAGGTTTATAATCTTTATATTTGCTATCAAACAATTAAGCTTTTGGTGTAATTGTTTATTATGACACCTGTATAGAGTCAGTTGATTAGGAATGCCTGCCTTACTTGTATCATACTGAGAATACTAGGTTAAGTCTTAATCAAAATACTCAATCATGTTTTAGAGAGAATACTGAGTCATCTCTTAATGGCAATACTCAATCATGTTTTAGAGAGAATACTGAGTCATCTCTTAATGGCAATACTCAGTCATGTGTTAATGGCAATACTCAGTCATGTTTTAATAGCAATACTCAGTCATATCTTAAGAGAATTCTCAGTCATATCTTTATAAGAATACCCAGTCATGTCTTGATCATAATTATCAGACATGTCTTAAAGAAATTTCTCAGTCATGTTCTAATGGCAATACTCAGTCATGTCTTGATCATAATTATCAGACATGTCTTAAAGAAATTTCTCAGTCATGTTCTAATGGCAATACTCAGTCATGTCTTGATCATAATTATCAGACATGTCTTAAAGAAATTTCTCAGTCATGTTCTAATGGCAATACCCAGTCATGACTTGATCATAATTATCAGACATGTCTTAAAGAAATTTCTCAGTCATGTTCTAATGGCAATACCCAGTCATGACTTGATCATAATTATCAGACATGTCTTAAAGAAATTTCTCAGTCATGTTCTAATGGCAATACCCAGTCATGACTTGATCATAATTATCAGACATGTCTTAAAGAAATTTCTCAGTCATGTTCTAATGGCAATACTCAGTCATGTCTTGATCATAATTATCAGACATGTCTTAAAGAAATTTCTCAGTCATGTTCTAATGGCAATACTCAGTCATGTCTTGATCATAATTATCAGACATGTCTTAAAGAAATTTCTCAGTCATGTTCTAATGGCAATACCCAGTCATGACTTAATGAGAATACACAGTCATGTCTTATTGGCAATTCTCATCTCATGTCTTAAAAAAAATTCTCGGTCATGTTCTAATGGCAATACTCAGTCAGGTCTTATTGGCAATACTCGGTCATAAAGAGTATACTCAGTCATGTGTTTGTCATGTTTATTTGAGAATAATCTGTCATGTCTTAGTCACATTTATTTAAGAATACTCAGTCATCTGTAAGTCATGTACATGTATATTTGAGAATACTAGTACTCAGTCATGTCTTAGTCATGTTTATTTGAGAATAATCAGTCATGTTGTAATCTAGTCTTCAGGCTGTTGTAAAATTTTTAAGGGAATACCAATCCTTATATTGGGTGAGTAAAATAAGTACTGGTAATTTTTTCAGTCAATGATTTCCAACATAGTGAACTCGAAATATCCGTCATCGTTGAGCAGTGAGAAGCTGAGAGCATTCGGGACCTGGTACAAGGATTACAAGGCTAGTCAACAGCATTACAGGCATCAAAAACAAGGTATATACTGACTTCTAATTATCCAGCATAAAATAGGACTCTCCTTGAATAGAGAATAGAGAAGGAAGTAAGAAACAGTTTAAAGCATCACAGCTCCAGATTCATGCTCATTTTCATGAAAATTTTGAGATTGTATTTAAAAGTCAAATGTTGTTAGGTGAACAAGGAAAGTACTTTACACATTGCAATTTGCACTTACAATGCACACAAATGACCAAAAAGA